GGATTTGCGGGACCGTTTCACCATGCGCAAATTTGCAGGTGACCTCATTCTGTTTCTGTAATACGAAAAGTCAGACTTGCAGGTCCTGCATTTGCATCTTGGTGTTGCAGAGCTTCTGTAATTCCACGCTAGGTAAAAAGTTTTCCATTATTAATTACGTCATCATCGCAGTACGAGCTACCTTGTATATATGGGGTATGAGGTAACAAGTCACGGGGTACCTGTCATCTTGTACGGTGTAACAAGTTATGAAATACCAAATTTTAGAAAAGCCTTCGAAAATTGGCGAGCTGTCAATAATGACAGGTGACATTTGACGGATAATGCAAAACACATGCCGCCCCCTATAACTTACCCCTTTGCTGACGTCACTTGGGCTAGGCCTCTTCAAATTGGGGCTTGCTACTTGGGTTAGGCCCCGTGTCTAATTTTACCGTTTGGGTTAGACCTCTTCAAGAGCGTATCTAATTTTAACCCCCACTCTTTTTTGGTACAAAATCAAAATAGTGGGGACCTTAGATTTTCTTATGGAGATTTACATGGAAAAATGGGGAAAATTGGGGCAGTTCTCTCATTGCTTATCTACTCTAGTTAAAATTGTTTTTGATAAACCTTGCAAAAGTGAAGGAGAAATGCTACAATTTGACCATTTTATTAGGGTTTTCTTCAAGGCTAAAATAATGATAGAAAAACCGTGGTAAAATGTAGATACTAAAACGATTGGTTTATAGAAATAATAATACTCATTAGCCATTAGTCTTCTATGAACTTCCAAAACCTTGAAATGCATTACCACCGAATCAAAGAAAGTATTCACAGTGCAGCATTTGAAGCCCTAGGTAAATACGAGAAAATCAAAGAAGGCCCTCACCTTATTGGAGGGATCAAGAAAAAGAGAAAGACATAGCGGATAAAAGAAAAAAATACCAACAGTATCTAAGTTCAAATAAGACACGAGACAAAGAAATATGTATATACCCAGCAAACATCGAACCATCCCACAGGGTATGCGACTTACACACATCAAATTCCACGAACATCTCAAAGATTGCGCAGAAACTGCCAAATGTCCGCCTCAAGGATTTCTTATGTTATATGAAAAGCAAACGTCCCATAGAAGTCTCAAAAGAACATCCACAGTTCGTCTCAAGAATATCTTATGTTATATGAAAAGCAAATGTCCCATAGAAGTCTTGAAAGAACATTTGCAGTAGATCATTTTATTGCCTTTATTGCGAATATATATACAAAATAATCATAGAAGCTGGAAGAATATACAGGGTGATTTACTGCACTTCTCTTTTCACAACACTAATTAATCATCAACATCAACTGCCGTCAGCTGCCAGCCGCTAGGTGAAGAAAACCTGAACCCCAAAAACTAAAAACGAACAAACTCACAAACAAACAACATAATTCTGAAACCCACGTCTTGCAAGCAATACCCAATGGCTAAATAGGAACTACAGAAAATGAATTAAAACGTTATTCAAGAGCGGAAAGATCCAGAAGGACCAGAAGCCACATGTGACTAATGCGATGCAAGATTAGAGAGGTTAAGGAGGGTATTAAAAAAATACCATCTTTCTCTTCATTACATTGAGAATGCGGATTTAGAAAGAACATCATCAAACTGCCTGTAGATGTTGCGTGCTTGCTGGGTAAAGAAGCACAAGCAAGAGTACGAAATAAAATAGTACAGAAAAAAAAAACGAGCCCTGGAAAAGAAATTGTGCGCATATTAATACTTCTTATCTGGGAGGTAAAAGAAACACAGAAAGTTGGAGATTACTAAAAAACATGAGGCAAACAAACACCAAGGATAATATCAATACAATAATACCCCAGCAATGGAATGACTACTTTGAAGAATTACTGACAGAAAAAAGCACAGAGTTTAAAAAAAAGGACAGATACGAAACATAAAAACTGCAGGATCACCAATAAGAGTTATGCAAGAAGAAGTTAAAAAACACTGAAGACCTGATAAGGTATGGGACCAATAAACTCTACAAACATTCAACAAAACTATTTCAAACATGCATAGATAACCATGAAGCACCGGAAGAGTGGAAAATAAGCTATTTAACAACAATATGTAAGAAAGGAGACAGAAACAAATGCGAGAACCACCTAGGAATTGCAATAACAAATACGCTGGGCAGAGTGTATGGAGAACTTATAAAAGCCAAAATAGAGAACGAGTACAAAGATAGTGAAGCAGAAGAACAGGCCGGTTTTAGAGCAGGAAGATCAGCTGTAGATCACTTTTTTAGTTTGACCCAGGTAATGGAAAAGAAACTAGCGTATAACGTATAAGAGCTCCATTTACTAGGTACTTGTAGATCTAAAGAAAGCATATTATGACAATGCAAGTTTGAAACACTGGAAAAGACCAATATCAACTTAGAATAGAGTTCTATTCTAAAAAGTAAAGGCAGTAAAAACGCTCTATAGTGATGCAAAGACCTAGATTAAACAGGAAAACGTGATCAGTGAAGGCTTTATAGCAACTAAAGAGCTTAAACAGGGATCCTGCATATCACCAACACTTTTTAAAATACATGCCGTTTTTCAACATCGAAATTCTCCACTATTTTTATTGAAACACCATGTATGTTGCAACGCCAAAATTAAGAGTCGTGTACAAGGTATCGATGTACCCATAAACATCGTGCATGGAACTTGAAGTTTTAGCCCTAAAAAATTGAAATAGAAATCTGGTCCAAAAATAAATGCATTTTTTTAGGTTCAAAAAAGGCCGACGTTATTGGGAAATGAATACCTTGGTCACGACTCTCAATTTTGGCGTTGCAACATACAGGCTGTTCGATTAAAAATAGTGGAGAATTTCGATGTTGAAAAAAGGCATTTTTTTTACTTGCCCTGTATAGGCGTGGAAAAAATTAGCAACTAACTGAAAAAAACTTTAGGCCAAGAAAAGTCGAATGGCGCAAATCGCAGGTAGCTAGCACACCTGGTTTAAAAGTTATAAGCATTTAAAATCGGTCACTTTCTATTGGGACCCCCAAGTTCCCCGTTTTTTATATCATGTGTGTGTTTTTTGTCTGTAGGATATCCTTGATCTAATGAAGTAATGATTAGGCATAAATACTACCGAAATAATTAGTTGTAAGCTCTAATACTTTATTAGATCAAGGATACCCTACAGAGCAAAAATACACGAAACAAACATTTTTATACACATTAAAATAAAAGTTACAGAAGTTAAAAGGTCCATTTTTGAAAACTTAAAAATATGTAATACAAAAGCAATAATAAAAAAAAGGGGGGACCTTGAGGGCACAATTGTAATGATAAAATATCTTTGAAATGGGACTATGTATACGCCCACCCAAGTTTGGCTAACTCTCCGCTTAAGCTTTGCAGATGATCAAGTATTAATTGCACACACAAAAAGAGAGAGAACAACCCCTGATACATCAAACGAATATCTAACCCATATTTCGGAAGAAATATAAAATGGCGAATTCAACAACTCACGAAGCTTCGTCACAAGTCATGAGCCTTGCAACTCCAAAATTTGTGGAAATTCCAATTTTTAATCCAAGTGTAGACTCTCCAATAGATTTCTTGAATAAATATGAAAGAGCAACAGCCCTGAGTGGCTGGACAGATTCATACAAAATATCTTTTTTTGGGTGTTTCTTAGAGGGCGCCGCCAATAGCTGGTTTTCAGCATATAAATCAAGCCAGGTAAATCAAAACCGAACATAGGAAAATATAAAAACTGACTTCTCGAAGGAGTTTAGCGGGGAACAACCGCTAAGAAAATTTAAAGTTCAGATTGAATACGAGAAGACAACAGGAAAACGAAGATATCAAGCACTTCTACTTCGAATTATACGCCCTAGGTTATGAGATAGACGCTAAGATGCCCTTCCAGACTTTTAAGGACCATTTCGAAAATGGTCTCCACTCATCGTTTTACGAAACTTACTACCTCATGAGTTCAGGAACGATGGACCACGCGAAGTTGAGAACGTTGGTCCTGAAATTAAGCGAAGTAAAGGAACGAACTTTGATACAACAAATGACCCATCAAAGGACCCTACTAACATGGGACAAACGAAAGGGCGGTAATTCAAGCGATTTAAAAAGCACGGCTGAGCGCACAAAAAATTCGGGAAGAAATTATGAACTCAACGACAGGAATTATAAAAAAGTTTTGAAAGAAGTTATGGATAGGTACAAAAAAGAATACGAACCAAGAAGGTCCTACAATAGGAATAGGGAATATCACAGAGTCAGATCAAACGATCGAGACCGATACCAAAGGAGATACAACCCAAACTACCGCCAAACGAATAGACAATTTCCAGAACAGAAACAAGAAATCACTATGGCAGACCAAAATGTCAAGACTAAATAGGGTTTTCTTCAAGGCTACAATAATGATAGAAAAACCATAGTAAAATGTATACTAAAACGATTGCTTTATAAAAATAACTATACTAATTAGACTTATAGACTTCTATTCTTTACCCAAAATTATCTTGAAACATTTACCAGAGATCTACCTAATTCTATTAGTGCCTATTGATAGTTTAGATTATTTCCTAATCCAAATAAACTTTTACCTACAACACACATATACACAAAGGCTAAAAATATAGTTTGTAAACTTAATTAAAGCGTAATTTTAAATTTAACAAAAATGTCCAATGGAAAAAAATAGGTCAGAAAATTAGTGGCGAGCATCTCTAGTATTTTAGTTTTGTCTGGGAAAAATATCTGTGCCAAAAATATTTAAATAACTCAAACCGGTGCGTACAAATTCAAATAATTAAAAGTATGTGTAGGTATAATAAAATTGTCTTTTTTTAATAAATTACCAAACAGTTTTGGATATTATTGCCAAAGCTTATTAGTGCTAAAAAAATGATATGTAAATCATGCAAAAATTTTAAAACAAATTAATATTTTTCAGCTTTTTAGATACCTAAATAGGAATATTATAAAAATAAACTTCAACTTACCAAACTCTCCAAAGAAGGTTTCACTGAAAATTTAAATTCACCCTAATTTAAAAACAATAATAAGTTTCGCACTAATAATTATTATTCGTAGTCGTTTTTTTAAGTCAGGTTCACGAAGACCCCCTACAAATTAAAAAAAAAATCCCAATGAGGAAGTGCCTCGAAAAAAATAAATAAATAAACGTACCGTGTAGTACTCTAAATCAAAGCGAGCGTAACGTCGACTAATCAAGGGTACCGGGCCTTGTGTGCGCTGGTCAATTTTGGGATATCTGGATCGATTAATACCCAAACACTAGCTGCTGCGACTCAAGGTGTGACGTAAAGTGTTAAGAAATTATGGTGGGGATCCCTGCTTGGCTTAAAATAAGTCAAGGAACTAACTGGGAGAATATTTTGTGTAAATAAATAAACACCGGACCTGGGATTTGTTGTATGATTTAATTGATTATTTGCATGCGAGGAATTGTATAAGATTTTTCAAATTTCTAAATAAAATATATAGCAGTGGGGTACTTCTAAGCTTAGTAGGAGGAGCCAAATGATATCTTTGGTCAATGCGAATGCGCAGATAGTCGCACAGTCGAGTTTGTTTTTTCTATTTACATAAAAGAGGTTGAGGTGGGGTTGGGATAAACTGAAAGGAGTCTGCATTGTTATTTACCAAAATGGCCTAACGGGGTGGAGCCTAGATTACAGATTACAGTGATGTAATAGAAAAAGTTGTTCATCGAAAAATAGTTTATCGACTAGCTCAGATTTTACAAGAAATTCACATAGTTATTCTTCAACCGAGCCTGACAAAAATTATAGATCGTTTTAGCTTAAGGTAAGTATTCTATTAACAAAAGTCCAACAATATTTAATTCGGTTATTATCAGCAGGTGAAAGGGGGAAGAATCCATGGATAGGTACAAAAATGGAAATTATTTCAGATTCTGCTAATGAACAATTTTACAGAACTTGAAAATTTTAGCTCATTTCAGTGGGTTTGTGACAGAAAAACCTACCATCCACCATCAATATTGACAAAAACCCAGCTTTTTGTTTGAAAAACTCAGTCATTCCTATAACATTATGCCAAATATCGATCCAAAATTTAAGATTTATTTACATTTTTCTTATCTATATTAAACAAAATGAATATCCTAAGGGAAAATAGTCAACTAATAGGTATTAATCAAACAATTCTCAGATACAAAAGTAAAAACTAAATTGAAATCTTAATTAACAGGTTTGTAGAGGATTTAATTGGCTTTAACTAGAGCTGTAATGTTGTTTGGGTAGAGGGTCTCAGGAAAACACAATACTGTTAATAAAATATTGAATATATTGCTGGACAATAACTTTTTAACATACACAGCTTTTTCACAATCTAAAAATCCTACTTCATACATGGAAAACTTACTGAAAAGTTCCAGGTGCATCTTCAGTCCAAACGGCATCCTTTTAAAACGCTAAATTCCGGAAGGAGTAGCTAAGGCTTATCTGGTGATATGCGGAACCCAAATCCAACAAGTCATGTGAAAAGTTCTTTTAGTCAAGTGAAGATCATTCATGCGCGGTAGCGGGTACTTGTCACTAAACTGTAATTGCGTGTAGTCGTTGATAGTTCACACAAACACGCACGTTTTTAGCATCTGGTCTTTGGGTACCATAACCACCAAGGCTGCTCATGGGCTCTGGCATTCTTCATTTATAAACTGGCCAGCATAATTAATGCATCACTAACTTATTTCTATTTTAATGAGGTTGGAATTGGAACTATGGATTGGCTAGCAAACAGTTCTGATCTTAACCCAATTGAGGATGTCTGGGACATGATCTATCGCCATTTTTAAGAGCTTCCTTACCATCCTAATACTTTGAACGGGCTTATTGGAGATATTGTCCAAATATGGAATAATTTGGATTAAAACGACATAAGGGCCATAAGGCCCGTAATTTTAACATGAATAATCGCTCAACCCTCATTAAGTTAGAACAGGCTGCTCCGACATTCTGACCCCTGATCTAGCCCATGTAGTAACATTATGCCGCTCAAAATAACCTCATCGAATTTGATTGTTCAGATTTCCGGGATATGGCTAGATTGGGCGGCAGAATGCTTTGATGCTATAGGCGGATGATTAAGTGACTTTATACAGGGTGCCCCGGGGAAACAATCCACCCCGATTTTTTCGATTTGAAATGAAAATCTTAAAAAACGCTTGAACACGCCGATTTTTGATTTGAGAAGGAAATATTTTTCAGTTTTTTTCATTCCCGTAGCTTCAACCCCCTAGCTAGGGAGATAATAACCCTTCAAATTTAAATAGGGGATAGGGGTCGTGTTATACCTCTTCTTAAAGGTCTTAGCGAATTCTTTATGATCCTAGAATTTTGTCTCATCATTTTTATTCGTAATGAAATGACAGCTTGTCGAAATCTTGGAAATAGACTTGTTTTAGAGGAGTAAAAGCGGTACTTACCTCCCTTAATAAAAATACTGACAGTGTACAATTCACGTGTATACCTAATTATGTATTAATAATAATAAAAAACTTCAATTTTTATTAAGGGAGGTAAGTGGGACACCCTATATAATGAGCTGCATAGGGAGTAGGGTCTTCCCCGGCTTGAAGATATCCTCATTTTAAGGAAGCCTTAGCGATAAGTATTCCTAAAAATGATATTTTCACATGGAGAAATCTCACTTTAAGGAATACTTATTGCTAAGGCTTCCAAGGTCGGTGCAAATAACAGTCATAAGAGTATCATGCTCTGCTTGGTTTAGCATTGATTATAAGATACCTTGGTTGAGCATTGCAAGATACCTTCATCTTCTCTCAAACCTTCAAAACTAGACAATTCTACTGAACACGCAATCGATTCACTTTCAAAATCTAATACATACTTAACTTCTGGGTCAACATTAAATTTCCACAAAGCATCAGGAATGCTTAATGTTATTTTTGCATCTTACAAAAAATCTATACCTAATAAGGTAGTTGGTGCTTCTGGCAATACGATGAAAGTAGCCGGGATAAGACTTTGTTCTACAATGACGTTCACATGTGTAACAAGCATTTCATTCAGTTTCGCACTACCATCAGCTAATTTCAACACAATTGTTTGTTTGTTTGTTTGTTGAACTTTTGACCATGATTTTCAAGTAATTGATAAAGTTATTTGCTGGCTACACTCGCTGTCAATAATGGCTGTACCACGATGACCAAGTATATTTATTCCAAGCAAAGGTCGAGGTCGTGGTTTAATTTGGACATGCTCGTCCATTGAAAGGTAACTAAATTCAGCTACTGACGTTGCAACTTTATTCTTACTACACACATAGGACATGTAACCTCGCACAACACTAATTAACAGGGTTTTCCTACCCCACGTTGGGCGCCAATGTAATGTTGTTTGGGTAGAAGGTCGCCGGAAAACACATTACTGTTACCCCAGGTTGGGCGCCAATGTAATGTTGTTTGGGTAGAAGGTTGCCGGAAAGCACATTACTGTTAATAAAATCTTGATTATATTGCTGGACAATAACTTTTTGACATACCTACACAGTTTTTTTACAATCTAAAACTTCTACTACATTCATGTGAAACTAAACAATTCAACTATTCTATTTTGAACCATTTATGTAATTTTCACATTCCTTACTGGTTTGAAGGTTTGAAAATGTCACTTTACTTTTGTTTACTTTAAAGCAGGCCGAAAGTGACTGTTCTCCTGTCACTTTCGGCCTGGAGAAGTCACTTTCGGCCTTGATAAATTGTTCTTTCATACCTAAACACAAATCCAGGTGCAATGTTTGTATTTAAAAGTAGAAGTCACATGTGTTTATATTGTTGAAATTTCATAAGATGTCAATGTTGGTGTCAGACTGTCAGTCGAAATTCCATTTTTGTCATATTTTTACCTTATTTTTTTCAATAATTAATGGTTCAAAATAAAATAGTATACATAATTCGGTGGAAAGTTTTCACATTATTGTCTCGAGAATTGGTTGACCTCGGCGCTTCGCACCTCGGTCAACCATAGTATCTCTCGACAATAATGAAACACTTTCCACCTCCGCATGAAATATACTATTACAACAACAATAGTATATAACATATTGAGGTGGGAAGTGTTTCATTACTGTCGAGAGATTATTTAGTTTGGGTTAGTTAACTACAATCTTGAGACAGGCATGAAACTTCCTACCGAGGTTTGTATACTATTTTATTTACAACAAATACAACCATCACAATTTTGACTAAATACTGAACAAAAATTAGAAAAATTTGTTGACAAGTTCTGACGTTTGACATGCAGGACTTTTCTTTAACATTTTAGGAAATGAGAGCTTACTTTCCACCTGGGTGGAAAGTGACCACTTTCCACCCGGGACCAGTTTCCACCCGGGAAGAAAGTAAAATTGAAACATTTGAAAAGTCAGAAATGTCAGCATTACGTATGTGGTTGTAAATAAAAACACAATCATTAGCCGACTCGTTATTTTCTTGAAAACGTCGCAAGGCAGCCCCTTTTTCCAGGTCGTTCTGACAATTTCCTACCTACAGGCGTTAACGACAGGGTCGTCTAGGATGTTCCAGGTATGATGCAAGAGCTTCACTGAAATAGGTTGAAAATTACCGGAGCTACGTGGCAAAAACTGTCTCAGTGTCATTTTTGAAAAAAAATCAATGTTCCATAAATTCAATTTTGAAGCTTCTCAGCTGCAAAACTGTTGGAACTAAATTAAAATCTTGATCAATAGAGGTTTGTGAAAAATTTGATTGGCTCAAGTTAGAGCTTGATTGCGTTAAAATCTGATGAAAATTAACGGAACTTTGAGGCAAAAACTGTCTCAGTGTCATTTTTGGAAAATGTTCAATGTTCGATAATTTCAATTTTGAAGCTTCTCAGCTGCAACACTGTTTGAAACCAAATTAAAATCTCAATTAATAGGCACATAACGCCTATGCCACATCACAAAATCGTTATTCAAACTTCCAACATTCAAGTATATTATCTTGCATAACTCAAATGATATTTCATACAAATTTTCTCTCTTTCCTGTCCCTTATATGTTTTGTTTTTTATCAATCAATATTACCTGTGAATTTTCAAATACAACCTTTATATTGGACATTTCTAGTTTCTTGACGCTTAATAAAGTAGTGATCAAATGACCAAGGTATTTACCAATCTTACACGCAAAGTTGCACTTTTCACGTTTGGCTCGTAAATTGAATTTTTAATTCACGGAGACGTGTGATGTTCCTCAAAAGTTCTGGAGAGCACACAGATATCG